TAAATCTTACTATTTATGCAAAAATCAGTGCTGAGTAGAAGAGAAAGATCCAAATTACTGCCCAGTTAAGGAAAAGGCTGCAGCCTGAACTGAGCCACTCCTGAGTGTGGTCTGCCAACCACATGCACATTTTGGCTGGCTGTTGAGGACACGCACAGCTCAAGCAAGTTATATTTATTATGTGACTTGTTTGCTGGTCTATAGTTAGGAGAGGTGGGAGAGTGCTCTGGGAAGAAGAAAGAGAGAAGGAGGGATATGGGGTACAGGAGGAATCTGGGAGCTGGGCGTACCTCAGGGAATGGGGATAGGAATGAAGGACAGACTTTAGCAAAGAAGCAAGCTTCTTTCTTCCTGCTCTTCATCAGATGACCTATTTTCTGGATGTAACGTGATGTCTCACTCGGGCATTACATCGTGGTGTGAGGTAAGGGAGGCTCGCTTGTTAGTTCCCACTAGTATTGACAATAGATTGCCTTCACTGACTTTGCATTTGTATGCAAAATCATTCAGGCAGTGAACTCTGGTGAATCTCATGAGGTTAAAATAAAACCAAGTGCAAGGTCTTGCACTTGGGTTGCAGCAACCCCCACCAGTATAAGCTAGGGGATGTAGGACTGGAGAACAGCCCTGCCAAAAGGGATTTGGGAGTGCTGGTGAAATGGCAAGCTGGACATGAGCCAGCAATGTGCTCTCGCAGCCCAGAAAGTCAACCATATCCTGGGCTGCATCAAAAGAAGTGTGGTCAACAGAGCAAAGGAGGTGATCCTGCCCCTCTAGTCCATGCTGGTGAGGCCTCGCCTGGAGTACTGTGTCCAGATGTGAACAGATTGCTTGGAAAGGTGGTGGATGCCCTGTCCCTGGAGACATTCAAGGTTAGGCTGGATGGGGCTCTGAGCAACCCAATCTAACTGTAGGTGTCCCTGTTTGTTGCAGAGGGGTTGGACTAGGTGGTCCAATTAGCACTGGACCTTTACAGTAAGCATACTGAGAATATGTACTGCTGACTCCTGCTTTAAAACCAGCCTTTGGCAGATGAGTGAAATTCTTGTTGATGAATTAGTTGATCCTCAGCTTAAAAAGATAAAAGAAACATTATTTTACTGTTGCTGTTTGTTTGTTTGATAAAAAAATTCAGACATCTTATTTTTATGAAAATTAAGGGCAATTTTAATAAGTAAAAACTAACTCATTATTATGCATGGATGATGGCAGGGACACCTCCCTCTAGACCAGGTTGCTCAAAGCCCCATCCAGCCTGGCCTTGAATGCTTCCAGAGAGGGTGCATTCACAGCCTTTCTGGGCAACCTGTTCCAGTGTCTCACCACCCTCACAGTAAATTATTTCTTCCCAATACCTAGTCTAAATCTACCCTCTTCCAGTTTAAAACCATTTCCCTTTGTCCTGTTCTACACGTCATTTTAAAAAGTCCCTCCCCAGATTTCCTGTAGCCCCCTTCAGGTACTGGAAGGCTGCTATAAGATCTCCTTTGAGCCTTCTCCTGCAGGCTGAAGAGCCCCAGTTCTCTCAGCCTGTCCTCGTAGGGGAGGTGCTCCAGCCCACTGATCGTCTTCATGGATCTCCTATAGACCCACTCCAGCAGCTCAACATGCCAGTCTTTGAACTGTCTTGTGCCACTGGTTTTAGGCAACCTACCTACTGCTCTTAGTAGGGAAATCTATTCATCTATACCATAATTCAGTGGTGTGACATAGTTCATAGAGGGACGTGGTTTTGATGCCAGGCTAGTCAGCAGTTCACAAGAGCACTGCCCACATGGAAACAGGGCTCCTTGGTGCAGCACCTGGGTACTGGGCATCATTTGAGTTCCCAGCTCATTGCACACATTCCTTCTGCCTCCCACCTCCTGCTGGAATGAAACCTGTGGCACGCCCCAGGTGCAAGCCACAGCATGTCCCCAGTCTGGATAATCAGCAGTAGAAAAAGCAGTGTTTCAGCTAAAATTTTCCATTATCTGCCTGAAATATGGCCCAATGCTTTAGGCTAGGCCAGCTGTAGAGAACAAAGTAAGAGAAACGGGAGGTCACAGGCAGGTGCCAGGCTTCCAGGGCGAGTGCTGGGAACTTCATCTGGTCTCCATTCATCATTACTCTCAATTTACTCTCAATTACAGATAAGGAGACAGCTCATTGAGAGTGAGTTTTGGTAAAGAAATCACGTGGAAAGTGAACAGGTTGTGATGTGCGTTTTGATAACCTTCATTTCATTGGTGGAAGGAGTTTCTGGGGACTAAGTTTCAAGCCAGTCTGTCTGCACCCTGTGTCAGGACTCTGACTCATAGGTGGGAGTAAATTAGAAGTTGTGTTAAGCAATTATTTTCCCTGCTGCCTTCCCTGTTATTTGAACAGAGGTTGTGCTGCTGTGCACCACCAAGTCTAGAGCAGCACCTTTGCTACTGTGATTTTAAGAGCCGTGGTGAATCAAGCCTTGCTCCAGAGGCTTAATACCAATGCATCCCAAAGCCAAAGCAATCAATTTTGTCTCTGTATTTGTTTTGAGGTAGCCTGCTACTGTAGTGTTTTTTCTTCAAGAATCCAAACGGGCCTTTATTGTAGACCCAACACATTGAATAATTTAGCATTCTCTGCTGTTTGGTTGATGTGTTACTATCATTTCCGTTGGACTTTGGTTTTGCCTTTTCAGTAAATAAAAAACCCAGGGTCACATCTGATTGATGCCACAAGTTTGAATTTTTATTCTTTAATTGATCAGTTGTTGGGAATCAGCCCAATTCTGCTATTGCCATCAGCAGCTCATAGGGACACGGACCATTTCTCAGCAAAAAAATGAAAATGCTTGTAAGCATTTTTCCCCAACCACTGAAAGTCCAACAAATGAAAGGTGGTCTCAGAATTCATTTGGTTTGGGTTGCTAGGACTGGATTCATCTGCACACTATTTTCAGTGCTCATTCAGTTGTGGTTTATTTTGGGTCATTTCACTTTAACAAGGCTCGATCTGTTTACAGTGCTTTCTATAGCAGCCTGACAGGACCACATAACTCTTTTATAGTAAGTTCATTGCTAACCAGGAGCTCAAAGAAAACCAACAAAACAACACTAACTAGTAAATGAGGCACAAACATGGATAACTTCAGAGAATAGAGCACATTTTTATGTGTTTGGATTATTTTGGAAAGTTTTCTGAAATAACCAGTCCTTTGTGCACTGTGGGCTGCTTTGCTGAACTGGAAGTGCCAGCATAAGCTAGCTATGTGCTTTTGGAAGCAATAGCAGAGGGCTGGCTTTAGGCTCTTTTCAGAACCGAGGTACTTCAAAAGCCACTCTAGTTGAGAGTTACTTATGCTCCTTAATTGAGGATCACTTTCATTTGCATAGGTAGGTATTTCCATCAGATAGAGTTACTTGATTTTGTTTTGCTGTTTTCATTTTCAGATTTGTCTATGAACCATTTACATACAAATTAGATTAAAATTAAATAGGTCTCCTTTAAAAATGCCTTAATCAGGAAATCCTCATCAGCCAACAAAAAAGCAGATGCTCATTGCCCGAGTTAAACATGCTCCTGTTTAACATGAGAAAGGCGATGGCCTTATTTCTCCATGAATGGAAGCACCTTTTTCTGTGTCTAAGGCAAACTGTGACTGTTCCATTTCTGCTTCAGCCTGCGGACAAAGTAACTTTCCTTTTGTGTGCTTGATTGAAAGCAACAATTAGTGACCTGCAGAAGTAAGAAGAAAGAGCACACCATGCTGAAAATGGCCTCACCTACATCAGCATATTAAAACAGTGCCAAGAGATGTTCCTTGGCACTGAGGCTTGGCTGTCTGCATTCTGCAGTCGTAGCTTTCTTGAACTCCTAATACTGATGTTCTGGGACATCCAAAGCATATTGGTGGTTTGGTAGGAAAGTATGTGTGCATACGCAGTGTCAGAGTACGTGTGTACTGTGTAATGTTCTCTTGCAGGGATCTAAATGTTCCTGTGGCCATAGGAGGATATTCCTTTTGGCTAAGAATTCTAAAACATTCATAGCAGAGAACAGAAGTTTTAAGGAGCACTTTAAAAAAAAAAAAAGAAAAGATCTCCATTTGGAAACTTGTCTTCAACAAGTTGAGTGTGTCAGATCCAGTTTGACTAACGCTTTGGGTCGTCTGCTCACAGCTCTTAAAACTTTGTGACTGTTTATGAGCTGTGCCATCAAGGAGCCTCTGATCTTAGCATGTCCTGCCTCCCTGATGCACCCCATTGTTTCCTTTTCTGTTTCCTTTTCTGGGGAGAATGTATCATTTCTTACACTGCTCTGCCTACATTTTGGCATGTGGTCAGTAGAGGTGTGCTCCATGTCCATCTTCCCCAACACAAGCCATCTCAAAGGTGGCTGCCTGCTGTACGTCTGTGGTCAGTACTAACTATCTACAGTCCCTTGCTCCAGAAGTGCCAACTTCTGTTCCTTTATACTTAGCTGGAAATAGTTCAAAGTTGTACTTGATGTAATAAAAACAGGAGGCAAGAAGGCAGGGAACTATAATTCAGCATGAACGTCCAGGAGAGCACAAGCAGAAAGTTGTCACATGGTTGGTTTTTCTATATGTAACGTGCTTAAAAGCTGTATTTTTCTTAAGGAATATTTAAAGTTGTTATTTGTGATGTAATTTAGAAAAGCATGGTATATTAATGATAACGTGATACAGTAGCCAAGATCCAAGAGAGGCAATTCAGGCAGCCTGGATAATAGACTGTTAATTGTATCACAGCAATTTGTACTTAACAATGAAAGTGCCTTCAACTGTTTTCAAAGCCTTTCTCCTTGGATCATGGCTAACAGCTCTAACAGTCAGTCAGATGTAGTGGGCTGAGGCAGAACTCAAGGCTGTCAGCTCCTCCCAGCCCGCTACACCATTCCCAGGAAACACCCTGCATTTCATTAGTTCTTGCTTAGTTTATGGTGTAATATTTTGCCCCAAGGCGATAAGCTATCATCAAAAGCAATAGACCAATTAGTGTGACTTCTTTTTCCAGGGTCGTTGTACAAGGGAGAACTGCAAGTACCTTCACCCACCAACGCATTTAAAAACTCAACTGGAAATCAATGGCAGGAACAACTTAATCCAACAAAAAACTGCAGCAGCTATGCTTGCACAGCAAATGCAGTTCATGTTTCCAGGAACCCCACTACAGCCAGTGGTAAGTATATTTCTCTGATGGTGTTGCTGGTAAGTATGTTGAGGCAGAAGACTATATTGACGTGCAAAAGGTTTCTAAAGTAGTCTTAATAAAAATAAACCTCATCTGTTGACTTAGGGAACCCTACTGAGGTGCTAGAAATGCCTTTTTCTATATTTGCATTGTAAAAGATGAAAGAGTGTTGCTGGAGATTTGATATTTCTTTTTTATCCCAGACTCGCTTTTTTTCCCCCCTCTTTCTTCTTTTTTTTTCCCCATTCAGTTCTTGTTAAGTTTTGTCTAGATTCACAAGGGTTTTACCCATGTTACTTCTGGAGGCAAAAAGCTGCATAATAATTTCTTAGTTATTTAAGTAGGACTACAAAGTTCTCCTCTCAGCAGTCTGTGAATTTGAGTGGCTTCAAACAATATTTAGTCCTGTGGAAAAAAAAAAGTGATGTTATTCTGGGTAGTGATTTCTTTCTCTCCTGAAATCTGAAGTGTCTCAGAATAACACAGGCAGAGAGTTGATGATGTGTCTACTTGCAAACTCAGCATTTTATCTTAAGTTAACACACTTGAAATCCAGAAGGTGACATAAAATCAGAGTCTTGCAGACATGAGCAGTGTCTTTGGGATATACATGAGAATGATCAGTTGCTCTGGGCTGCCTTTGCAGTTCAGCTCCTTGTTGTACCAGACTTGCAAAGCATAGCTAGGCAAGTAGTCTGAAAGAAACATTTGGTAGCTAATGATGTTTTCTCAGTTGAAACACCTATGTAAGGCACAGGAGTGAGATTAATTCCCCTAACTTGAGGCATCTGGAACATTGACATCATCTTCCACACTGGGCTTCCTAGGTCCACTTATAGTTTATCAAAAGGAATAGGCACTTTTAATTACCATTTGCTTGGCTTGTTTCAGAAATTGGTATTTGGATTATATGGTTCGGTTTCTTCTAATTGCTGTTGTCTTTCCATGGACTGTCAAAGGGGATAACTATAAACATCTCAGATGAAGAATCTGTTTTTGGCCACATAGCTCACTCCAGATTAATTTTCCAAAAGTGATTTTACGCTTGAAGTATCTGCTGTAAGGTGGGATGAGTGTGCAAAAACTGGGGGTCAGGAGTCCCTGAGTCTCAGTACATGTTTATCAGCTTTCAGCATGCATGTAAGATGTATCTGGGTATTTTGTCAGAATGTGTTTTGCTATTTCCTGATTTTATACTGCTTAAGTTTTCAACTTTTTTTTTTTTTCATGAAATAATAAAATGATTCCACTTCTTGTATTATAATGGAAAATTGAAGTGGCAAAATCATGCTTTTTTCTGCTCACTCATTTCATCACTTGAACTTTACATTTTCATTGACATAATGCCTTCTGTACTGATGGCTGTGATAAAAGTGGGGGGAGTTTTATTTTTCAGTCTCACGTAAATTGCCAAATGAAGATGACTCAGCCTTGACCAAATGCATAAAAAGTAGAAGAAAGCTCCATACAAGTCATTTGACATGTAGATTTATTCTTAAAATCGTATCTGAATACAAAGGTGGCATTTATATTAAACATGATACACGTTGTCCACTAAATAGTTGAAATGTTTTTTCATATATATCTTCATTATTATGCTGTGAAGAATTTAGTTCACACTTGGCATATAGACAGTGGTATTTCATATTGAGCAGTTTTGGTCTGAAAAAAAACAGAGCATTATTCACTTGTAACTCTGCAGGTCAAACACAAGGGCATCTTTAAAAGTAATGCCTCCTGTTTTATTCTGTTGGTCCAAGATGTCTGAGGCAGATGGTTTGGGGCGGTATGGCAGTAGAGTTTAAACCTTCCCCCCAGTATCCCATTATATTTTGTTGTGATGTGACAGATAGCAGCAGAGAGACAGTCTGACAGAATGGCATCTGACATGGAAGTGCATATGAAGGAAAGGGATGTCAGTGAATTCCTCCATGTGGAAAAAAATGACACTCACTGACTTACTTTGTTGGCGTTTTGTGAATGTTTCCAGAGACCGATCAGTGGATGTGAGCACAGTGAGGTGGTGGGTGATGCATTTCAGCAGAGGCAACAGTGGGTCACCTCCACTGGTGCAGGTTTTGACAAGTATGGCATGAAGGCTCTTGTTCACTGCTGGTGAAAATGCACAGCTAGTTGTAGTGACTGTGTTGAAAAAGAGTGTTTTGTAGCTGAGAATTTGCTCTATCAAACAATGTTATTATGCTCTTTATATCTGCTGTTGCTGCCGTGGAAAGAAATAGGAGGCATTAGAGTTGGAGCAACCTACATAGATGCTGCTTCCATACAGTTGGGTATCCTGGCTAGTGTGCTGCCTTAAGCATCTTACTGGTACTAAGTCAAACTTGAGTATAATTTAGTAATTAGTTCTAAACACCTGAAAAAAAAAGAACAGAAGGAAAAGGGGGAGAGGAACAAACAAAAAACACACTGAAAATAAACACAGCTTCTTGGCTTCTCTAATTTATTTTCCATACAGTGTTTCTTGATAGCTTCTATTCTCCAACACAGGCCATGCAAGTCACCTCAATGAGAAAGAATTTCCTTTTTTTAAATCTCAGTAAGGTTTTTTACGGTGTTCTGTTATTGCAGGGTTCATTTCTTGCTGCTGTCTTATTCAAGAACTTAATTTGTGACAGAGCTAATCTCAGAATTGTCCTGTTTTGTCTTAATTTTTCATTTATAATCATAATTATTTATAATTATAGCTTCACTCTGGAGTAAACATCAGCCCTGCAGAACTAAATCACTTTCCAGTTCCAGTTATGACCGTGGTCAGACCATGGCTATGTTCTGCTTCCATCCCCACTGGAGCTGGTAATAACAAAACCACTATTCTACTGTGGTAGGGCTCGATTTTAGCATCACACAAGTGCTCTTTCTTCTGGTCATGACTTCACTGACTTTTTCTAGGAAGGTATGAAACAGATTTTTAAAACCATATCATTTCTTTCAATCGACCTTTTTTGTAAGATGAACTCAACCTAAGCCCGAGTAATCCTTTTCTAAATATTATGTCCATTGGAGATTATAATATTTATTCTGCTTGCCACTGGTGACAGCTGGGCACACAAACATTCTGAAAGGTGAGGCTTTCCGATGTGTGAGTTATAGCAACATATAATTGCAGGAGGTGGCAAAATATAGCATGCAAACAGATGGAAGTTGAGCCAAAGAGCTCATTAGTTATAGTCTTATTAGAAATATGGCTTTAATATTGTTAATAATGCTTCACCTATGAAATCTGGTACTTTGAAAAATAGCCTGTTCTCCAAAGGAATGCAGGTATTGAGAAAAAGCAATAAAGTCTATGTTATTTCTACCTTTAGATGTGTAAATAAATCTGCAGTATAAGCTGGACCTCCATAGAGATTCAGGTTCGCAGCAGGATTCCCTTTGCATTGGCAGCCTCTTTTGCAATAGCAGAGCTACAAAGTGTGTGGTTCCTAGTATACAGCTGGAATGTGTTACATGATTAAAAGAGGAGAATATGCTCTGTATTTTGCCAGTTGCTTGAAAGTTTTTGATTTGAAGAAAACAAATTGGCATCAGGGAGAAGATGCAAAAGACATCTAATAAGCACTTGATTAAGATTTTTTTCGTCTTGGTCTGTGTTTTCATTTTGCAGCCCACATTTCCAGTGGGTCCCACAATAGGAACGAACACGGCTATTAGCTTTGCTCCTTACCTAACGCCAGTAACACCAGGAGTTGGCTTAGTCCCGACTGAGATCCTGCCCACGCCACCCGTCATTGTTCCTGGAAGCCCACCGGTTTCAGTCCCTGGTTCTACTGCTACTCAGAAACTCCTCAGGACTGATAAGCTGGAGGTACTGTAGAAACAACCATGACTAGAAATGCAGTTCTCTGATACGCTGTAGGAAAGCTCCTGGAGGAAAAACTCTCATTATTTTAGAAACTGTGCTTAAAATATAGTTGCTAAAAGTACAGGCATCATAATTAGACAGAATGCCAGTAGTAATTAAACACTTATTTTGAAGGTAGTTTACTCAAGTTTAATACATAGAAATCAGCATGAAGTTTCATCTTTCCTTGTCTCTTCAAATGTCCCTCGGGTTTACATGCCTGTAAAGGAATGCTTTGGTGAAATATCTAACAAGCACATTTTTATTGCAGTGTTAATTCTCTCCTGATTTTAATTAATCAGTATTAGGGTAATTTTACAGGCCTTCAGCCTTCAGCTTCCAGTAAAGGAGTTGCATGTCACACACCTCAGAGCAGACTGGGCAGGAAAGCCCCCAGTTATGTGTAGAGCCTCTGTGGAGTTGGTGGATCCCCACATGGCCCCAAAAGCGATTTCACCACTTGGTGGAATCTATGGTCCAAGCACATCAGAAGGCCAAATGCTGCTTACAGAAATGAGCGCCCTTTCCCAAAAGCCCAATATCTAGAGCACATTGCTCCTTAATAAATTCAGTTTATTGATCCTGTCCATTTTTTAAAACTGTTTTTTGGAGGCTCTCCATTTTGCTTTAAGACTCTATGCAGTTCTCTGTATCTTCCTTGAGTATCAACAAGAGGAGCACCTTCCCTTCTGGTGAAGTTGCAAGAACTTAGAATACAGTTGAGAGGGACTGAGCATTGTAAGTCTCAACTAGTTTTGCAGGGGCAGTTACTTCAGTAAGAATCCTTCCCAGTTGTTTTCTAGGTATGAAAAGGGAAGGACGTTTTGAAATGTTTCTGTTTCATGTCCATTTAGCCACCATACCACAGAGCTACCCAAGGAGTGGTAAAATAGATTCATTTTCCCTCTCCCAGAAGAAGATAGCGAGTTCATTAAGTTGGATTCGCTGAGCTAACTGGGGGAGGGGGAAGATCCATCTTGGGAGGCATGGGCTCTCCCTGCCTTTTCGGGTTGCAACCAGTGTTGTTTTGCATGTAGGTGTGCAGGGAGTTCCAGAGGGGAAACTGTGCACGTGGAGAGACTGATTGCCGCTTTGCACATCCGGCAGACAGCACAATGATTGACACAAACGACAACACCGTAACCGTGTGTATGGATTACATAAAAGGTCGTTGCATGAGGGAGAAATGCAAGTATTTTCACCCTCCTGCACATTTGCAGGCCAAAATCAAAGCGGCGCAACATCAAGCTAACCAGGCTGCAGTGGCAGCCCAGGCAGCTGCGGCAGCTGCGACTGTGATGGTAAGTGCTGGCATATATGGCTGCTTTTCTTGACAGAAGCTCTTTGATGCCTATTTTGCTTCAATGTAATGCTATTTGCTTATACTTTATTTTCCCTTTTGCTTTTTTTTTTTTTTTTTTTTTTGTAAAAGATAAGAATTTTTAAAATTACTACTATTGCTTGATGGGAGGAAGCACTCTTTTTCTTTATTCTCTTATTTTAATGCTGTATTTCTATCCAAGACAGTGAAGCAAATGACACTCTATACCACTTCTGTTCTCTGCCTTGATTATGTGTTAAATTTGCCCCTAGTATTTCCAAACAGAAATAAAACTGTTCAGTGTCCCCTGGAAAATAGGGGTTGATATGCTGGTTTAGCTCTCTGACAACAGTTAGGCATGTGGAAATATGGAAGAAAAGGAAGAAAAGCAAAGGAGGTGGGTTTTCTTCAGTTTAGTATTAGAAGAGAAATATGTTAAGATTCAGTTCACCCTGCTTTAGATGCCCTTGAGTTAAATAGAGACTAACCAGCCACCTTGGTTTCACTCTACGGGCAGTGGAGAAAACCTAGCATGTTCATCTACACTGTTTATCTGATCCACTACACCGGTGCCTGTCTGAGGGGGAGGAAGAATTATTCTCTGGAGATAGTTAGCTTTTCTCACTGCCTAAGAAATGCTGACTGTATATTCTTGAATTTTGGCTAAGGCTGATAAGTCTCACACTAATAAGCCTTTCTTTCATCTCCTACTGACAGGGCAAGTTCATTCAATCTCTATGCTACCATTTTTTTTCATTTAGCATAATAGGGTTTAAAAGTAATGAACTAAAATGGGAATTATCAAGAAAAAGCAGAGTAAGCGTAGTCAGAATTTCTATTTTCAGAAATTTGAAAGTTGTTTGAACAAGGCAGCCCATCCATTTACCAATACTGGTTATCTCTTATGGTTGCTATCAGGAAAGTTGTTAAATTTAAATAAGTGGTATTGATGAAGTTAAAGAAATCAAGCGTGCAGGATTTGACCTGGGAGACAAAATTGCTGGCAGAAAAATCAAAGAATCGTTGTCCTCATTGCTGGCACTGGATGAATAATTAAGCAGATGCAGTTTGTGGACTTGTGGGCAGTGCATACAATAGTTATAGACAATATAGTTATTATTTGAGTAAGGAGCCTAGCAGAACCACAATACAGTACAGTATATAACTACCCCAGGCTATTGTATTTAGCAAATTAGCAAAGAGCAGACTTTTCAAGGAACAAAGGGTAAGTTATGCAACTAAATAAACCTCTAACAGAAGAAAAATTTTAATGCGTTTTTTTGCACTTCAGTAGTGATGGGGCAATATCCTGACATTTTAAATAAACCATGTTAGCCTCAAAGTGAGATGAAGAATCCTTGGGAATACAGAATTGAAATTCTAATGTCGCAAGGGAAGAAGTCAGGGACCTATAGTTCTAGGTAAGTTTTAACAGAAAAATATGGAAAGTACTTTCATTTAATACTTAGGCTCTCAAACAGAAGAGATAATTTTCAATCCCATTATTTTTTATTCAATGTAGATTTGAAAGAATAAGATAAAGTGAATGAAAAATCATCAGAATGACAATGACAAAATAGTGGTAGAAAAGATGCACACCTGCAAGCTACCCAAGAATGAACAAGAATGCACAGTTGGATCTAGAGATCAAAAGTAAAGCAGAAACACACTTATCTGTAAGGCTCACTTAGAGGTTGTTGCCAGGTTGAATTGTAAGAGGTCTTCCTTCCTGAGGGAAATGTCTGCATTGCTTTGGCCCAGAGGGCTTTTTCTAGGCAAGTGTTGTCGACTTTATTGTAGTAGACATTGTATTGTAGTAGACATTGTAGTTAGACCTTGTAGGGCCATTGAAGGTCAGTGAAGACTATCATGTGGGACCAGAAAATGCCCTGCCTGTATTTTCATACACTAACGATCAGGAACATTTACTCAGATGCCCTAACTGACCTCATCCTTGGAAGTAAAAAGAAAAGGGAAAAACACTGAAAAAGGCTACAAACCGTATAGCTTAAATCCCAAGTACATTAGAAGACAAACACTTGTCATGGTATTCAGGGAGCTCCAGATATTCATGTACTGCATCAGAAAACATAGAAAGTCACAGAAGAATGTACTAAACTAAACTAAAATGTTATTTTTTAAAATGAATTGATAGTTGAGATTGTCTAGTCTACCTCCCTGTTCTGGTTGGATGGGCTTGAGGAGACAGCCCAGGATTGTGCCTGGTTGGCTTTTGAATTTCTCCAAGAATGGAGACTCCATAACTTCTCAGAAACAGATCAATTTAGTTCCTGTGGGTTAAACTTTGTCTAGAAGGCAAAAGGAAAGTCAGCAAACACTTCCAAGTAGGGAGGTAAGGGTCAGAAGACCATAGAGAGGAGGTGGAGAAAGGCAGTCAACACAGAGATAACAAGTGAGGACAAATAATACAGGTACTGGATTGTAGAGGTAATTAACCAAAATGCTTTACTCTATTGATGTTGGTTTGAATTTATGGGCTTCTTTATCGCATCATACTGAATTCAGTTGTAACACTTAACCTATGTGTAGACTTCCATCAGTAGTGGATGCAGAGGGTCTGAGGTTCTGTTAGCTTAGCCAAGGTACCACACGTCAGCTGTGCAGCACTCTGTGTGAGTGCAGGAAGGCTATCCACATCCTCACACTGCACCAGGTGTTTCTTGTTATAGCTGAGTCTTGACCCAGACAGATGAGCAGATACTGTATGTCACGGAAGATAATCCAGAAGTGTGCTGCAGGGTAGATGGGGAGGATGCTGGGAAGCCTCGTGCAATGTAGCTGCAACAGGACTGGGAACAAGGACAGCAAAGACTGTCCTGCAAGATACCCTGTTGGTGTTAGCTAATACCACGACTATAAGGTGTTTGTAGGCATTTTGTGCCTTGTCCTCCTTTTTAGACTTTTGTTCCGTATTTCCACATACTGATGTCAAGAGAGACATTGTCTGCATATCCTGAAAAAAAGTTAAATATCAGCAAATGCTTTGAAAAAAAGGGGAAAATTCTGATTTATGACTAAATCATCCTTGCTGTTTAAAGGTTTGTAAGAATAATTTACAGTACAACATTTGAAAGAAATATGCAATTTTTTTTTAAAGAATATCATCATATCAATCACAGGTTTAGTCTTACAGTGAAAATATACAACAATATCTATGTCTATGTACTATGCCTACATATTTTCTTTAAAAAATTTTTATAATGCTAAACCAGTATTATAAGTCATATTTCAATGTTTAATACTGCTAGGAGCAGTATTTTTACTCCCTGCTCCCAAAGATGGTACTATAAGGTGTAGTGAAATTTAGAAAACGTGTTTCAAATTCTGAAAGGCTGTTGTGTTTTTTTCCTCTCAATGTAATGTGGTAAGTCGCAAGGGAAAAAAATTACAAAAATGACCCACCTTTAGGGAAAACTATAAGGAATTAATGATAAGTTAGTGTAATGGGACAAATTATTTATTGTGCACTGGGAATAGAATCATAGAATCATGGAATTGCTCGGGTTGGAAAAGACCTTAAAGATCATCGAGTCCAACCACAACCCAACCATAGTACCCTAACTCTAACAACCCTCTGCTACATCATGTCCCTGAGCACCACATCCAAATGGTTTTAAACACATTCGGGGATGGTGACTCAGCCGCCTCCCTGGGGAGCCTATTTCAGTGCTTAAAGGGAAAGGAGAACCTCTCTCATTTGGAACCCCAAATCTGTTGGATTACGCACTTCTGTTGCCTAAGCCCCTCTCCTTGCAAGCACAAATATTCGGAACGTTTGTGATGCATTACAACTTTCATAGTGCTTTTTATTTGGACGTGCAGCATTCCAAATTTAATTGTGCACTTGGGAATTTGGTTTGGCTAACTTATCAGAAATTCTTGTAGGAGTATCCTTAAAACTTTCCGCATCTCTGTGAAGTGTTGATAAAATGCTTAATAGTGTCTGCAAGCTGCTGTTTTACTCAACTTTCCTGAATTTCAAACATCTATATTTTACTCTCTTATATGCTTTTAACTAAGGTATAGTAGATGCATTTTTGCTTCAGTACTAATTCGAAATGTAATATTCATTTCTTTAGAAGACATTTTTGTTGTTGTGCATGCCTAGTGTTTTGTATGTTGTATATTGCATTCAGAATATTTTTTTCCTTCTCACCTATCCACAATGCAATGCCGTTCCCATGATGCACCTCTGCTTGCTGTTTACCTGTATGTTAATTCGCTTGAATCCCATTGGCCCACTGCCATCATGTGCTCGCTGCCTGTTATTAAAAGACTCAGTCGACTGCCAAAGCAATGAAGCGACCTCTCGAAGCAACTGTAGACCTGGTACTTTGACCTTTCACCTTTTGCTTTGCATGTAGCTTTTCGGAGAAGCAACTAATGAAATTTGTATTGCTTTCTTTTTAAACATCAACCGGAAATGATTTCACATACTCTTAATTTACCGGAAACTCAGTACCGTATTTATCCATCTCATTCTCATACGTAATAAATGCAGACAATTTAGTTTGGTTCCTAACACGGTTTCATCTTTAAATACCTTCTCATGAAAAGTCGAATTGAGATAAAACTGCTTTTGTAATTGAAAACGCTTGACATAATCCATTAATCTGTTTAATAATAGGAAACAGTATTTCAATTAAAAAAAAAAAAACAACCCATACTTGGCAATGAAACACAAGTGGTTTTTTCTCCCTATGATATCTGAAAACCTCTTTAAAGGAAATGCCATTTTCGTTGCTTTAAAGGCCTTTCTTTTCAGTAGTTGTGCTGCTACAGTTTTAGGTTAATAGTACCATGCTTTTGCTATCAATAACAAAATTTCACTCATTTTACATTGCTGTGCTTTGAGTTAATATGCATGGCGAGGCATCTTTAGCCGCTTTAAAAATAATAAGTTTTTGTATTTTTGTATATGTTGCAGACAACGCCTTAAAAACTACTGCCTTTTAACTAACTCTCTTATTCACAGGCCTTTCCTCCCGGTGTTCTTCACCCTTTACCAAAGAGACAAGCACTTGAAAAAAGCAATGGTGCCAGTGCCGTTTTCAATCCCAGTGTCTTGCACTATCAACAGGCTCTTGCCAATGCTCAGTTGCAGCAACATGCGGCGTTCATCCCGACAGGTATGTCACACCCACACCGAACCCTCTTTGCTCTAAGTAGCCTCTGAATTAAGCAGTTGTGCTTACCAAAGGGTTACGCTCCCTGCCCTGCTTGAGATGAGGCTTGCACAGATATTTCCATGCTGATTTAAATCTTTCTGCAAAGTGCAAGGGGTCAGGCTGAAACTTCAACACGCCATTAGACTGCTTGTCATTTTCATAGCCTCCATTATCACCCACAGTTTGCCCTTTTTTCCTACATTGAATTGGCTGTATTTTGACTTTACCTGCTGGAGCTTTCCTAGGGAATGAGAGGGCAAAACACTGCTAGGAAAAGTCTGGGAAAGGTGTACGGCTTTGAAGATGCCAGGGGTGTCCATTCGTGGCCTCTCTGTTGCTGCTCTGCAACAATGCATCAACATGAGCCTTCTGCTTATACCTGCACAGAAGCATCCCCAAAACAAATTGATCCCCACCTTGACACAAAAGGAGCTTATAGGCATCAGACCAGTTTTTGTGTCTTTCCTTCTGGCACATAACCAGTGCTTTTCCTAGCATTTGCAGCTAAGAGCTGGGGCTGAGCCATCCAGGTGAGCCAAAGGTTAGGGGATGTGCTCTGTGTGTCTGCACAGAAGCCTGGGAGATCCAGTCATCCAGAGCTCGAGCTGTGCCACAGGGCTGGTGCTGGGACTCCTTTCTAACACAATGAAAGAAGGAGCACATGGTATTTGCACAGACAGTAACGCCAGGATCCTTTAAATTACATCAGACACCCTCACTCCAAACTTTCTGCTGGTGAACTTCCTCTCTAAGGAGTGAAGTGTTTTGGTCTGTGACTGACAAGTGGCACGTTCTGGTATCAGAACATTATCAAGGGTGAACATCCAGAATCCTTTAAAACTTCTTGTTTGCAAACACACTTGACATTTCAGCTATGTTATTTTTGTTTGTAGAAATAATGCTGGTTATAGCGGGGGATGAGACACAACATGCAAGAATTGCCCGATCTATCAGCATCCCCATATGTCTTTAAAGATAAAAATAAACACAGATGGCATTGACTTCATGTGATTTTGCTATAAGGCCTGAGTAACAACCTTGGAGCCTGCCCCTATGTTGATAATAGCAAGTTATAGAATGCTGTATTTTTAGCACATTCTTGCACTAGAATATCTGTGTCAGAAAACACTCTAACATTTATGGGAGTGTCTGAAAAAAACAGTGAGGTTGCATATATGGATGTGAATGGAAGACCACCCTGTGCTTACCAGTGTACAGAAATCTCCACGAATTTATTGTGTGTCATAATCCTAACAATTTGCACTATGATTTGCATTATTCCTTCTCTTAAGCACTCCCTTTTGGGGCTTATCGCTGCTGTAAGCAACTGCCATAGACTTTAAATTAACTCTAGAAAATAAGAACAGCTTAAACCTTTTCCAGTGAAACAGCACTTGGAATTTTCCAGACTTTGGAGTAATCACGTTTCTTGAAGTAGTTCATTCTTTGTACCATTTATTGTCCATCCCTCTTTCCAACTGGTGGTTATGGTTGCAGTTTTGTCTTATAAATTTCAGATGGTAGAGAGGGTGGCTCTTGGAACTAAGCCCTAAAAGCCAGATTGTTGGCAAATCCAAAGCAAGTGCACAAAAAAAAAGAAGAGAGAGGGGGATAACACAGGTGAATGCCCATGGTGGAAAGCCTTTCTCAAGGTGCTGAACCTCCTGCTTTGTGAATGCCATCAGCACCTAAAGAGGATATTAGAGATGAATGGGATATGGAAGAGGGCTAGAAAGGGAGAACCACTCTATATGAGTGGATGTAACGCGAGTTTTGTTAAAGATGGTTCCTCCGATAGTCCCACATTTCCTCGGAGGTCCCAGAGAAGGTTGGATCCGGTAGGTGTGAGGCCTGTCACGTCACCCAGCCCTGAGGAACAACACATGACATTATCTAAAGGATTTAAAAGGATGATGTGATATTTTCTGAACTGGTATAATTTTCAAATGTGTGTGTGTGTGTATTTGTGAGTGTGCTATAAAAGTTAAATTTTAAGACAAGTTTTGCTGCTGGAATATATATAAAACTTAATTGTTTTATATAACCTCTCTGCTTTCTTAACCACTTGCTCCCATAATGACAAGTGTGGGGCTTCACTTAGCATGGCTCATTTCCAGATTTTTGCACCTCACGTGTTTTCCATCAGTTTGATTGCTTCGTCACCTCTCCTTCCTGTTTAGTGAATGATCTCAAGAACAACAGATCTTTTCTCTCCTCTCATTGCTGTTCGTTACCATTTTTATGGCCGCTAGCCTAGGAACTGTGTGTATTTTCCAGGGTTGTTCTTCCGTAAGGTCATTCATAGTTACACTGCTGCTGGGACAGCTGTAAGCAGGAATATAGGAAGCATATTTGATTTAGTATCAAATATGTGTGTGTGTGGTACCAGTCTTCCTGCCTCCTCACCTTCACCAGCTTGCTTTATGCTCTGTGTCAAAAGCACATTGCTTTGTTGTTTGTTTTTTGGTTGTTTTTTTTTTCTGGTCTTCTCAGAAAGACTAAAGCCATTCAGCACCAAGAACCAGCAGTCTTTTTTCTGCTGAGGTTGCACTCTTTTAGATGTTTAGCTTGGGAGTTTTTGTTCTGGTCCTTTTGTTCTTCAGAAACACCTCCCTGCTTCATGCCTTGCATTAAAAACGCGTAGGTTAATATTAAGCATCAATTTGACAACGCCCCTGCAGAGTAGTTTGGGATACTTCCATTTTAGCTTTTTTGGTGAACGTTCATCTGCTCAGCACTAAGCTGTCCAAATCGTGCAGTGAGCTCTGAAAATGCAAAATAATGTGATATTTAATTTAAGATGTTTCTGTAAACAAAAACCTGTTGCTGCAGATTTGTGTACACAGAAACACACCAAAAGTCATATACTACTGTAGGAATTTAATATGAGCCTAATCACATCTTTAGCATTAAAGCAAAACTATGAATGACCTTAAACTTTCATTTAACTAACTTATCTGTGGTTATGCTTGAATCTCACTTTGAATGTTAACTCTAAACAGCTAACCTGTTTCTTCCCTTTATCCACTTTTTTCACCTATCATTGCATGACACGCAGGGTCAGTTTTGTGCATGACACCCGCTACCAGTATTGGTAGGTTCCAAATTTCTTTATTGATCTCTTTTATACTGTATATGATGTATATTCACTTGTTTCAAAACTCGTAGGTGAGATGTAGGCAATGGCTAGAACTAAAGGCTCACTTGTCCTTCTGGTTGACTTTGCGCAGTATTTAGATTTGTAGACGAAAGCTGCAGCTCAGATGTGATGTCACCTGCTATAACAACTATACTGCAAAAGCATAATATCATGAATTCCAGTCTGCTTTTCAGTTTTCAAAGTTTTATTTCCCTTTATATTTATATTGTCTAGTACTATAAAATCATAAAATACTGGAAAAGCCAGCGAGTTTCATCAGTGTTTTAAAGTTTCATAGTGGTGTGCCTATTTCTCCTTTTTGCTGTGTGTTAGAAAGTTTTATCAGCGTTTCCCAGAAATGTGTACTTTGATCCACAAAAGCTTAGTTGAAACCTGTGATATAAATCTCACTCCTCCTTTAAATGTGTTTACATCTTGGAATGAACACTTTGGGCATGCCAAATTGGAGTCCAATGTAGCTGACTCTAAGATGGGATATTTCTCCTATTCTGTAGCTTCATCCCAGTGATTTCTTTTTGTGACAGGGGAGGCTGCTCAGATAAGCAGTTAAAAGCTTTCAAAAGGTAAGGTTAGTATTCTCTCACAAGGGTACTGAGTAATATTCATTCTTAAAATGAGCAAAAGCAGCAGCTTTCACAAAATTGATCTTGCTTTTTTAGACCAAACGAAGTAGTATTTAAATCAGGAAAATGGTTATCATCCTTCTTCTGATTTTTGCCTCGAAGCAGATGGCAGTTTAACTCTGATAAAGTCTAGCAGTCATGCAGTGCTAGAAGAAAAAAAAAAACACACAAATTGGATTATATAGGAAGACGAGAATCTGGCTTACTTCAAAATGAAGACGCACGATAATAACTTGTTTTTAATTCTGTTTAAAAATTAAAATAAACAGTTACCATTTTCCTTCCCCAGTTCAAAAGACTGTAGGTTACTGTCAGTAGACTTTTATTTTGGAGTGTTTTGCAGCAATACTGAGGGGAAAAAAAAAAATTGTGTACCAGTTCTCAGGTAACGGGTTGTTTTGGTAGAGACCTGTTCTTAGAGATAACACCCGCATTTGCAGTGGTCCTTGCTCTTTTTTCTGGGAATCGCCGATCGTGTTGACAACCTTCCTTTAATTGTACTTGTAATAAGCTATTTTCCCTTTTTTTGTTTTTTATTTCTCCGCCACGCTTTCTCGCTTTGCACTGTGATTGCATGCCATCTGCTGGTTTAACCCATGACGATGGCTTGCCGCTCTTGATATTCACCATGCCAAAAATACCACTTCTCTTACCATAATGCTGCACCCTCCTGTTCATTGCTTCCATGGTTCCCCTCCTGAAAGTACCCATGATGCACAACGCTACGGCCGCCACTGTCTCTGCAGCAACAACTCCTGCAACAAGTGTTCCCTTCGCCGCAACAGCCACAGCAAATCAGGTTTGCTCCTTTTAAAGCTTTCTTTCACAAGATCCCGAACTCTAAATGAGTGCTGAGATTTTATTTATTTTTATTTTTTAACAAAAAAAATTCTCCCAGAGAATTTTTTTTTTTTTTCTGTGTTTACCCCATCAAATTTTATTTTTAAGTCGTTTATAGCAAGTGTTTGTGGGACAGGTTGCACTTATTTAGAGTTAGCATTTGTTGCAAATAATGATGTAGCTGTGTTTTGTGTTGCGATGTTTGTACCTAATTATTGTGTAATTAACCCAGCTGGAATTACAATCACAATAGTACTGGACTGCTTACGATAGTCTGTTATTAACTCTTAAATTCAAAAGGAAGACATCACAGGTTAATGTAACCTTCTCTGTATGGT